TAAAAACTTCTGCTGCATTTTATCGAATTTTCCCAAAGCTCTGAAATACATAAATAAAAAAAGCAATATTTTGTTCTTGTTTCGACCAAACCAAGTTCTTCAGCAAATTGGTTGATGAGAGGTGGTAGAAACAAAACGTTGGTCCCTCCTGTTGGTGTTTGTGGTATATTAGCGACTTCTTCCATTGKTAATCCAGTTTTCGYCGCTTTTCTCTTCTGATCTTTCTTACCTTTCTGATCCGGTTTCTGCATCGCCGTGGCAAGATTTATTTTTATTGCTATATAAATCACYTGTTGAAAAATAATTGAACTTAGCACCGTTTCTAAACCACTTAGACTCTTTGGGAATACCACGCTTCCACTGATGTTTGGTCACTAATGGTGAAASCGAAGAAAGAGAGTTGTGCTTTCTGTCACAGAATCGACTATACTTTAGATAAGATTTTAAATTTTATTAAATTAGAAGAGAATTAAAAAATTAGGTATATTTTAAGGCTTCTCAGTTAAGTTTCTTCTGACGTCTGTGGTTGTTTTTGTTCCTGTTTTGACAAAGCAGCATTTTATTGGAAAAAAATAAGCGATTGCATGCAGCAAACCCACTTTTTTCGCCAGTTTATCTGCTTTAAAATGTTGAGAACTGCTGATGGATCATCCATTTCCTCCGAATCGACACTTTTGAACAATGCAAAACGGTCGTCAAGAGTATCCCGCCGAGAGGCTGGATTCCCTTTAAATTTCGCTACCTTGCTGGCAGGCAGCAAAAGAATGATGACACTCTACACCAAGAAGGTCGGCTAATTAGCTCGAGCAGGCAACATTCACTTCGTGCCATATGAAACAGTTAGTTATCAACAATACAACATCGAGGAAAAAATTGAATTAGCCACTGACTGACTGGTCAAATATGAGCAAGTCAAATCGGCGAACTGTTTGAATTTCAATAGAAATGAATATCAAAAGGCGGCGTTAGTAAAAGAGCCGGAAAATAGTTGATGGACCAAAGTCGGGCCTGTTTACAGGCCACTCTGACACTTGGCTTTTGTCGGCCTAGTTAAGCCGCAGGGGGCGCCGTCCCATGTTCCCCATAACTATAACGGCCCGATGCCCCTTTGTTTCCTGCCGAAATATATTGGTTTTTTAAATCAGTTTTCGGTCAAGTCAGAGGTGACGAGCGAAGCCTCATTTATTTTCAAGTGGCTCGTTTTCCATGGGCCCAGAAATTCTCCTTGCTGATGATCGGTGAAGAGGAAGTTTGGGAGAACGAAAAAGTTTGATTTACTTATTGGTATCGGTATTTATTAATGTTAGTTCGTCGAGGTTTACAGTTATACAGTGCATGGTAAAGTAATAGGAACAGATAAACAAATCCATTAATTTTACGATGAGAAGCAGTTGCTAATTTGGCTTTGAAAGTTCCACTAGATTGTAAATGATTCATAAATTTCTAAAGTTACATTTTTGAGCATGCGGTTGACTTGAGAAATTATTCGGATCTGCTAAGAAGTTCCAAACTGCTTCAGCTTCTTCAATTTTTGCTTTAGCTTCTTATCTTCAAGCATTTTCTTTGAAAGTCTTCCATTTGAAATGATTTGTGTTGAAAGTAGAATTGACTTACTTTATAAGACTATTATTTCCTATTAGTGAACTTACGCCACTTTGGAAGTCGAAATTTGTGAAAATAATACATTTCTTAGAGGTTCTAATGATTGAAACATTTTTTACCGAAATATGTATTAAACGTGGCAAAAGACAAATATTTTTAGATAAAACGCCTCGTTTTTCATTCAGAGTCAATCATCAATCAAGATGTTGATCACTTTCCATATTTTTCAAAAGTTTTGCAATTCGAAATACTTTTTTTGTCGAAATGCGTCAGCTGGTTCTGCATAAACAACTTGTTTTCATATTTTATTTTAACATCGAGTTCAGGGCTTTGTAAAATCATACAAAAAACTGAGTCAATTTTTTGTGCAACTTTCAACATTAGCAACATACAAACTGTTCTACTGATAGTTTGCTTTTTGACTCCCAATAAAAATCGATTTTGAACGATTTCCATTGTGCAAACTTTCCTTTCAAAATCAGCAAAAATTCGTGTATATTTGGCACAACTCACCGCTTTGTACGGAAGCATAAATAGTTTGAATTTAGGCCAACTTTAGGCTAAACCGATATCACTAAATACTTCACTTTCACATTGGAAATCCAAAAAGAATTCTTACATTCTTACAAGTACAGGTTCAGGAAAATCTATCTATCTACAGGAAAATGCATCTTTGGAATGAATTGGTCTACATTTTCGATCAATAATTGCTTATCACATCAAAATATCAGGCTTAACTATATGGAAATTGGCATACATTTGCATACTTGACTGGGATTTAATCCGAGTAAACTATTTGGCACGTTGGATAATCAAGAATTGTTTGCATTTTTTTATAAATTGAATGTTTGGAAGTCATTCAATTCACACTCATTAATTAATTAAAACAGAATGAATAGAAATAATAGTAATATTAATAAACAAAACATCCGTCCGCAAGTGCTTGGATCTCCATATACAAGACGCTTTTTACCAATTGTTTAAGGATATTTTATAAACGATCTTAAATTCAAGCGTTTTTGAGGGCATTGAGATGAAATGTAGCATTTTGAAGAGAAATTTAAACAGGCTTTCATTTTACCGCTGATTACAGGATGCACTGCGTTTAAGGGTATCGATGCATTCAATCGGCTCTGACTTTGTTGCCACCTTGTACACCAGTGTTTAATCTGATTTTATTTGGCCCTCAATTAATTATGAGCAAAAAATTTGTACTTGGTCGAAACCTCTTAGAGCACTAGTTTTTGAGATATTGGCAGTTAAATGTGCAGTGTGTCCTTAAGTGAGTACTTCTTAATAGCTTAAGAATATCTTAGGTAAATTTAGTCATATGCTATGGAAAAATGGTGAAAACACTTTTGGCCTCAGCGCCAAAAACGAGGCAAAATAACTTACTAACTAACAGAAAACAGCAAAGTAGATGTAAATCAAAAAAATTACGAAAACACTAGAAAAAATGCATGGTTGGCGACTTGTCGGACACTCGCCACTTTCGGCAACGGTAAAAAAAATTGAGGTTTTTTAGGCTTAAATGTATAAAGCGAGCTCCTTAAGTAAAAAAAAACCGAAAAACCCCACTTTTATCTAGAAAAACTGAAGAGATTTAGGCCTCTGGAAATCACCACATAAACTTTCAGATTGGCACCTATAAATATTTTTTTATTCGAGCTGTACGCGTTCTTTCCTTACCTAGATGGAAGTATGTTTATATGTTTTTTGAGGATTGGCCTTAATATAAAAAATCACTGACTCCAGAAGCAAAAACATTCCACCCAATTACTTCTTCATCTGAATGCCGGTGTCGACGTACGGAAATGATGGGCAAAGTGTTTTGTCGTCCAAGTCCGAAATGACTTGAGCTTGGTCCTTTATCAAGTAGTCATACTGACCATTTCGATGTGTTTTCTCTGGGCCTTTAAGCGCGTGTCTTCGGATAAAGTCCACCGCAACTTCGGGGGCCAGTTTCGACATTTCAAGGCGATGGCCCCAAGTTACCAGCGCCAAGGGCTATCAGGTTAAACATGTTTTAAGCTCTATTAAAACTCAGACGTTGACCAACTCACCCTTGTTGGGCTGAGTAGATTCAGGGGCGTAATTACATGTCGATACAGGCATTTTTTTACGATTCGTCGCAACATGCTGATTTCGTTCGGATTGGCGCATGGATGGTACAACATTACAACAGCCCCATGCTCCAAGTTGTGTATCCATCGTTGTCTGGGTAGGAAAGTGAACTCGCCATAAACGGCCCATAGTGGCCTATGGGTACCACTAAAATATCCCTATTAGTTTATATGAATTCGTACACATTGGGGAGGAAAATTGTCGCTAATCGCTTTCCCATACTCAAAATTTCGTGGATGTTAACTTTCGCCTCTCAATGTAAATTTAATTTCTTTAATCGCATGATTTTTGAAACTGTGCTAATTAATAATAATAAATCCTTCAGAAAAATTATGCCGATTTTGGCAAATAGATATCCAATAAAAAACTAATTTAAACTTACAATGTGGGAATAGTCTCATCATATTCAATCGATTCGTTCATACATTTGTGCGAAGCCTAAAAAGGAAACATTCTCAACCAATCCGTTTCCAAAAATTTTCAAAATTAACCTACGCTGTATTCTTGCGGAATGTGTTCCACGCTGTGAATGGGATGTACGGTTTTCTGGGGCAAATAGAGGCTCCGGTTGTGAAAGCAAGTGTAATTTTCCACATTGTTGTACCAATCGATTTGAAGGTTTATCTGGAACGAAATTAGCTATTAATCATAAATAAACAAAAAAATCTAATGTAGCGAAACAATCAAATGGCGGTTTGCATCACAAAGCACGCCAACTTATTCGGTTATGCAATGTTTCTTAAATGTGGATGCTTAATTAATTGTTTGCAGCGTAATAGTTGAGATTAATCAGCTCGTTAGCATTATTTTTCCTCTCAAAGACATGGAAGCTGCAGAAGATTACTATTTATTTCCAGATCCAATTTAGTGCTTGACCATGCACAATTTTATCACCAGATTTGAGGAATCCAAGTCCGTTTAAACTTTGCAACCACTTGAACCGACTGAAATTGCTCAATTGCTTACAAACCTTTCCATCATCACAGCTACTATCCACCACCCCCATAGCGATTCCATGATGAGCGTCGTACAAATTCTTGGATTCGCTGACTGCTTGATTCGAATCCTGCTCTCCGGGCCCATGAGGAAACCATTTCCTATGCCAGGATTCATCATATGGGTGTTCTGCTAAAATTGCCAAAAATTGGTCAATTTTTTTTACCAATTTCTTCTGCTGCAAAGGTTGCTATGGACGCAAAGATCTAATTTGTTAAAATTCATATATTTCATAGGTTTCTACTTTGTTTATTATATTAAACTGAAGATTTTGTGTCCGGTTACTAACAAAAAAAAAACGRGAAACCGCGTTGAAACTGAAACTTTTGAGCAAAACTGCGCGGTTTTGCTGCAGTTTTTTGTTCTCAGTTTGAAAGGCAAATGAAGKCAAAACCAACCGAAATGTATCATCAAGAGTGACAAAATGTGCCCTGTAAATTTCGMAACGAAAACGTTGATTTAAGGAAGCAAACGACGCAAAAATAAGCAATCTATGTGGTGGTTTAAAAAGGTGCATTTTGTGTGATCGCATTATATTTCGCTAGTTGCGTTCTCAAATTATATGGCGTACAAGAACTTCGACAAAAACCTGCTTTACATTATTAATTTTACTGCCAATTATTTTTTAGTAGAAGAAACGCAATTTAGGAATAAACTGCWGCAGTTCGATTTTTTATGGCAACACGTTCAGGGTCTTAAAAAGGCGGATACTTGAGATACGAATTTGAGAGTTGATTTTACAGGCAACACGCTCTATTAAAACGGCTCTATTTGGTGGCTTTTCTCAACCGWTTTCAATACAGAAAGAAAAGGGAATGTTGGATATGTGAGTTAAGAAGGAGCTAAATCGGAAATTTGCCCCAAAAGATGAGTATTCRCATYTTYAGTATTCACACCATCAGCTCTTGCSCTAGTAGGCAATTCAACTAGAGGCCACAAAAAAWTATTATTAGCCTTTTTTGAATACTTCTCTGCAGATCTCAGCAAGCTTTTAAACTGTCCTCATCTCTAGCCATCTATTCGTGGAYATTTTCGAAGTTAGCACTACTTTACACACTTTSAAAAACGCCCTTAAAAAATTTYTTAGATTCTCTCAAGGAGTGACGCTTCACAGGTTTCTAACTTAAAGGTTCCAATATGATAATTATTATAGTGTCAATCTASAWTTTTTAAAATTTTATTCGGAAATCTCGTTCTTACAACGTTCTATCCAAATKATCCTTACTTGGATTCAAGCCATGCAGACAAATTGAAACCCTTTTTTTCAGAATGTTTTCACATCAAAGTGATCTTTATGTACACTATTTTCTTCRCACTAGACTCATTTTACATGTTAATTAAAGTGACCACATTTTCATCGAGAAAAAGTGGGACAAATGAGAAGAAATGAGAATTACAATTTAGTTGTTTTTATTGTAGATGTACAGGGTGCTTCATAACCTTATGGACACCTCAAAAGAAATCGAGTTTCCATTAAAGTTTTTTATCAGGCCCATGGTTAACAAGATACAGGGTGTTAAAGTTTCAAAAAAATGTTCGTATTTTCTCTTTAACTCCTACAGTTTATGAGATATTTGCTCAAATTTTTAACATAGGCTAATGTTTAGACCCTTTACCGTAGCTAAGGTGACTGGTTGTGAAAATCTACAGGGTGTTCTTTTTCCTAGAGGCATACCCCTTTTTACCCCCCGAACTTTTTGCGATGCACCCCTGACTTTGACCAAACACATTTTTGAATTTGTTGTTCAATTTACGAATTTTCTAATCTCTTGCAGTTTTTCCGTATCTGTCTTAGTTTTCGAGTTTGCACAAATATAAGTCCATGTACGGTTTCTGGGTGATTTCTTTATAATTTGTTTGTGTCCTTTTGTTCACCGTTTTTTTCTGAAAACTTCAAGTGCAAGTTGAACTTAAAATAGAGATGACTGACGAGTTAACTGTAAAATTGATTTTTTTTCCTTATTTTAATTTACAATACATGAGGTTTATCGGCTGTAAGCTAATCCAAATCCAAAAACGTGAACAAAAGGACGCAAAAAAATTATAAGAAAATTCATGGAAAATCACCCAGGAATCGTACATGGACTTATATTTGTGCAAATAGCTCGAAAACCAAGAAAGACAAATTTCGGATAAATTTCCAATTAAAAAAGACGGGAATCTTTGAGGTACTTTTGCTGCAAAAATTTCACTAATGGCTAATAAACGGTGTAATAATTAAGAATAAATTTAATTTTTCAACTTTTCACTTTGAAGGCCCATAATTCCTTAAGAAATCCAGATCGAAATTTTTTTTATTGGAAGTACTGACCTTATTTTCAAGTCATCTGTTCGCCCTATCATTGTTGACCAACACTTTCGGGACACCCTGTATATGTAAATCTCAAGTCCTTTCAGGATCAATAAAATACAAATTTTAACATTTGTTGGCCCCCTTGGCAAAAGACAAACTGTTACAAACAAATTTATTGAAAATAATTTAATTTTAATAAATTTCAAGGTATTTTTTTGGTCCTAAAGTGGCAAAACGCGGCTCAAATCGGCCACATTTTTCTTTTAAAAAACCGAATTAAACGAGCATTATTATGGGAAAAGGGTTTTTATTTTCATTTTAGCATGTGAATGTTGAAACTTTTTCTAACCGTTTTAAAAGTGGCAAAACACGGCTCACATCGTTGGCACTTGATTTAAAAAAAACTGTTATAAATGAAGTTTTTTTTTGGAAAAAATCGTTTTGTTAAATTATTATTATGTTATGGGGTGAATATTTCAACTTTTGCGCTAAATAATGAGTTACATACATTCAAAGGAACAGAAGATTGTCGCCTTTGGGGAACGGAATAAAGCCACGTTTACTCCTAAACTGCTTCCGCTTGAAGCAAATTTCGACCTCATTCGCCGAATTTTCTCATTTAATTTTTTAAATTAAAAAATGATCTAAATTGGCTAAAATTCCATTAAGCAAACATTCATTAGCATTGTATGCACACCAGGGCAGCTGGAAACCCTGGACAAGTGAAAAAGCGGAATATGTAAAACAACCCGGGAAATGCACATCTAGGAAGAAAATCTTCGAAAATCTAGTAAAAATCACTTACATTTCGCTGATACAATCGTTATACACAAAACGACAATATTTTTCAGCATAATTATTAGCGGGGCAATCACGAAGATCGATAGAAAAATAATAACAGCGAACTGAAGCAACGAAAATTTACAATTGCAGCGGCATATCGAAAAAATGTTGATTTCAATGTACTTTACGGGGTCACAAAAGCCGTCTAAATAAGCATTTATCGGAATCTGACCTACACGGAACTTCAATCAACAACAAACCAGATGTTGATATAATTACTTCATAAACACGTTCACGTAAGCGAATATCGACCTGGCCAACCAATATAGTGAAAACTCTATTCAGTGCTTCAAGTGACGTGGACTCTTCATCTAGAGCAAGTTTTACAGTGATTATCCAAAATACAGAACCAGCAGTTTATAAGTTAAATTCGTGGGATTTCTGGCAAAATTTGCGAATCCCAGATCGCCAGTTGGTAGTGGCCTTTTTCCCTATCAAAAAATCATACAATTTTGGTTGAACAAAGTATAGCTAGAAGGAAATAAGACACCTTGCGTATGTAATGAAATCGTCATATGCAAAAGAAAACTGTATTGTTCTATGTTTCAATACATTTCTTTAGCATCAGCCCTCCGCCATTTTATTTTAAATATTCATTCCCATTTTGTCCAGACGCCAAGAGCTGCACGATATTGTATTTTATTGCCGAAAGGGGCGGAGCTAAAGAAAGTAAACAAATAACAAAAAATGTGGCAAATATTAACAGCAGCTCTTAAGACCGTTGATCTGGGGGTACATCAATCTTTAAATCTTTGAAAACTTTTGTGGATTGACAACAATTAAAACATATACTAATGTTTGATAAACTGAAACAATGAAACCCGCACACCACAAATAATAATGTTAACAATTAATTGTAGAACATTTTCAAAACGATCTAATAATTCGCAAGCTACCAAAACACATCCGTCGTCAGATATAATAAGAAGAATTTAAATAGTTTCAGCTAAGCTCCAATGGTATTTCAAACATCTTATACATAGTTCTAAAAATTTTTTTTTATTTTTATACAGTTGCTTATAATTTTATTGCAATTAGGTACTAACCTATATTTTTCTGGCCCTAAAATGTCACATACATTAGAAACCGAATGATAATGAGTTCCAAATGTGAGGTTACACATTTTCAGGCATAAATATTTTAATTGACAATCAAAACGTTTAAATATTTTGTTCACTTAAACCTAATTTTGTGATTTAAAAACTCAGCAATTATGATGAACAAACTTTACATCAGTTCGACATTTCCTATCGGTTAACAATAATAAAAATTCACTAGAATTATCAACAAATGTCCCCTATTTAAAGAAAAAACTATATATCAATTATGTTACTATAAAATACTGAGAAAATGTGAACACAACATTGTTCATTAAAACGAATAAAAGCGAAAAAACCAAGCGTTGCCAAACCGTTGCAAAAAACGTTGCAAAAAACATAAACAAACACCACAATTTCTAAGCTTCTAAGCGTTACGTTTTTTCTCAGCATATTCAAATTCATTGCTATCCGGAAACGAATGAAGTGTCACAGATCCGTTCTTTGCCAACGCTACAAAAATCAAACCTTTTAAAAACCAGTTATTTAAATTAAAAGTTATTGCCTGCGAGATTGCTGGAAAGTTCATGTGTGAAATACTGCAGAAAATGAATATTTTTTGGATGGCTATCGTTTCAGTAATCGATAAATAAAGAAAACGCTAGTTTTTCAAAAGCGATCTTGTTCAAAACTAAAACATACCCAAAAAAGCTAAATACAGAGTTTCTACACAAGAACCACTAGAACACTCTTCTCTTCTTTATGGTTTCAGTAAATTCCCGTTTTTAGGCATCTATTTTCTAATATACATATACAGTGCATTATTTATTTATTTATTATTATTTATTTAAATTAAACCTCAAAATCCCCTTCAGACAACCATCAGATCGATTACTAAAGCCGCCATTTCAAAACACCCCGTATATTTGATCATCTTACCCAACAAGGATGCGAAAATGGTTGCCATGTTCAGTTTACTCATCTTTGCGTTGAGATGCTGGCAAATTTCCACAGGCGTAAGTCTTGGATAGTTTCTCATTAACGCCAGTATTTGATCAGCCCTAAAAGAGCCAAAATCATGCAATTAGATAACTTTTAAGATTCTTAAGCCAACTAAAAATGTTGATAAATACACGCGATGTTTAGTAAGTCAAATAATAAGTCTATTCCTTGCTGGAAGTTCCTGAGCAAGTAATTTTTAAATTTAGTACCTTGCAGTTAGTTTGCCATAAAATTTAACATTTTGCAGAAAGGAAATTAATTCTTGTCTGTATTATTTAGTTAAAAAAAATAAAATATTTGTAAAGTTCCTGTGCCATTTAGGAGTAAAAAATGATATAACCGCTTGATTGCATGGCAATAATAAGTATAATTTATTTTGCTAACAAAAGAGTACATGACTCACCATTTTCCACCGAACACGCTTGTCTCCTGAGATCTAAAACAAACATAAAATTTATTTAAAAAATCCAAAACTGTTATATCTACCTACATTAATAAAATAAATTTAAAAACGCTTGTTAAAAAAAGTTATACCTGACTTGTACTTGTTCATGTAATTCCACCACGTCATGGCCAATCGACGCATTGATCGACTGGTCTATTTCTTTCTGTTGCTTTGAAAGTATGCCTGCTTGGTCGGTATTGCTGGGTAGACCAGGCATGCTAAAGAAATTTCCATTTGATATTGCAATATTTACAAAGTTGATCAACTGTTCAGACTTACCGTTGTATTTTTTCTACTGGACGCCGTCGTCCGTTCGCTGCAGCTGGTGGCAAATCTTCATTCAAAGATTCAATCCTAGACACAAAAGTTTGAATTATGAACTACCTATTTTATGCTCAGTCAGAGACGCAAAAACATGATAAAATAATTTAATTTAATTAAATTAACAAAAACTTACATATCTACAGTCCGTGCATTTGGAGTTGGGAGGCGAGAAGAGCCAATTGTTGTTTCAGTAGGTCGCAAAGATCTGATAACTTCGGCGGGCGTGTCCGGTTGAAGATTGCTGAAAGCCTCATTCAGTTCTGATATGGTTCGACTGGAAAAGAATACATTAATAGATTTTATTTGAATCAAAGAAATATACGTAAAGTATTTTTTTTAAATTACATGTCAGGAATAAATATGCTAATAATACTATTATGAACCGCTTGGGGCACCTGCAGAGGGGCGACTTTTGTCGCATTAAGAATGGAACAAGCTCCATCCTCGGCGACTGTCGCCCGCAGTTGCTAGTAGCAGCTACAAAAAGTCGCCCCTGTACGTGACTGTATTTAAAATAATGAGTTCAGCGTGTGCACTTAATGACAAATTTGTTGCTCAAAGAAACAAATGGAAAAAACAATTTCCTAAGGCAAATATTTTAGTAAAGTAAAAAATGATATTTACCTAACAGATCGAATATTCCTCACATCTGATGGGCCTGAAGCCAAAAATGTAGAACCTTTCTGTCCGTCAACAAACACAGGCCCTTGCCAGAAGTTCTCAAAATTAAAAAATTGAGGCAAGGGCTCATCCATATTCTTGCTCAATTCCGTGTAGTTCACGTCATCGTAAACTCGTTCCTTTATACAAATATAAGAAAGTAAGTAAAATGGCAAAAGATTGGCGAAATGCGAAACAGTTTATATGATCATTAAGCGGGCAAGTGCTTCATTTTCGAGATACCGTAAAATTATTGTTTTTACTCCTTCCTGTGACGTGCCGCGTGGTGAATTAGGCGATAAACTTCCTGGACATAATTTTAATTAGATTTTTTTAACCACCATGAACATCCCTCGTATTCACCCTAACTAATAGTGTGCGGAGGCGACAAGTGCGTCCGGGTACGAGGGAGGTGCAGTTTGTAACGCCAAGTGCAAAACAGCCGAAAAATCCCGTTTTTTCCCGATCATCCCTGCACTATTGATCTAATAATATCAAAAGTGAAACTTTTGAACTCATCGCGGATCTATTACAAGACAAGACTCAAAAAGTAAATTAACACCCTCAAACAAGGAAATGAAGCGGGTGAATAAGTACCAAATCGAAATCGATATGATTTTTTCCCCACATTTTGCTGGTCGGAACAAGTTCCCTTAGACTTTTCTCCCTGATCTGATATTCTTTGAACGCTGCTTTGCACTTTATCGCTATAGTTTAAGTACATAATTATCGGCAAAACAAAAATACTTACCTTATAACAGTTGATTGGGACGACTTTTGGATTTGTTCTTTTTACACAAAGGGCTCTCGCAAAATTTTTGACTTTTTTCGGCGCCTGTAAATATTAAGTCACAGCTATACATACATTCAGCTAATTAAACAAAGTTTAGGACCAACATCTAAGTGTGATTTAGTAGATATTATTTCATCTGAATGGCGGTAAAAACATCTACCAAAACACTTAATTTTAATTGAAATTTCGTATTCCAATCGCATAGGATTTAATAAATTTTATTAGGAAATAAGAAAATCAGATACTTATATGTAATTCTTACCCGGAGTTGCGCAGATCGATCCGGTTTTCTTCCGGTTGGCATAGGAGGCAGAGGAATAGGTTCGTTTTCTTTATTTGCTTGCTCTGGTGATACAATTGGCATATGCTAAAAATGTTTATTAGTGTAGTCTGTAGTTTTTTTAAATGTTTTTTTTTTTAATTTCCATGTTTTTTAAATTAATCTAAAGGCCAAACAAACCTCTGGTTCTTCGGTCGCTATAGTCGCTATATCTTTTGACTGTACAGCCGGTAAACGTATCTCCGGAGCTAGAACGCCAGGCCTATAATTATTCAAATATTTAAAAAATATATATTTAACAAAGCTCTATTATTACGTTGTTGACAGAGGACGCGGTTGTTCTCCGAACCAGTCGTCTTGAGGATCGTTCTGAAAGAAAATTCCAAACAATGATTTCAATGCCTCCAAAATCTGAAATATTTTATCTCAAAGTTTGGAAATAAGTTGTGATAATGTTTCTGAAAATGTTCAAGCAACTAAACAATACCTTCTGCTGTAAGGGTTCATCTTCCCGAAGTGTTATTTCTGCCAACGTCTTACTTAAAACCGATTGTTCGTTGCTAAACAATTGTTCAATTGCTTCTGGGGATATATCAATCTCCAAGTTTGTGCTGGAACTAATGCAAATTTTCAAACGTAAGTACGTGTTATTTTATATCTGCAAATAACTCTTACAACAAACTGTCAGCTGGAATCTTTCTCTTCTTTTCCCTCGGACGTTTTACAACCGTTTTTGTTTTCGGTATTTCACCGCCTCCAATCACCATCAGTTCCATATTTTTGTTCTTCTTTTCTTGTAAATGTATGAAGAAATGGAGAACACCGTCTGTATACGAACAAATTTAAATCAACTTATTGTTACTTAACACTCTCATTACTTAATGTCTGAATACTGATCTGAATGAAAACCACTACAGTGGCAAGTAACGTGTTAGCAGAAATCGAATATTCACCTAAACAAAATTTAATTTGCCTATTCCAAATCAAAACTGTCCCATGAGTAAGCATTGCGGACAGCCTCAGTGATAATCTCTTTTTTGGATCTGAGGAATTGCTATGCAAAAAGCGATTAACATCCTCGCTAAAAAGATGTGTTATATATTCTACTGCAATATAATTTTTATATTACATACCATAACTTAACAACGTCCAATTGGACGACTTCATTTTTTGGCAGTTTATTCAAACCGACCGTTGCAGCTTGCCAAGCCAGAGTCAACCGGCGCCTAATCTGAGGGTGTATCGATTCATGAAGGAAAAACATCTTGTGGATTTTGTACTGGAACTTCCGGAACTTCTGGAACTATGTACCAATWATCTGCTTAAGAACTTTATTGTTATATGTCTAATAGTTCTGTTGAATRGTTTTTTGAGGAAAAWACAGACATTTTATTCTTTTTTTCTTTTTTTTTATTATTCTCTYAACMCCTATAACCGTTCGACATGTTGTACCAGAGACAAATAACAATTATTGTCTCTGTTGTACATTAAAAAGGTCTCAAATATTTGAAAGAATGGTATGCGTTCTTTAATGACTATGTTATGTAAACTACGAACAAGTAGGGTATTTTAAATTCAAGCATTCATACGATGTTGGAAAAATCGATATTACTTTAAAGTGTAAATAGAAAATCGACCCTAAAGGAAAAGGGGTTATTGAAGTGTGAACAGTTTAAAATCATTATAGAACATTTATATCGAATAGGCTTAGAATTGTGCGAATAGTTCGAATATGCAATAAACAGTACGGCATTCCATTTAAAAAAAAGCAAGTTTGTTCTGTCATTTGAATTTGAGACACCCTGTTCATTAGTATTATCCATCCTTAGTATAGTATATCCTTCCATCAGTATTGTCTCAAAATAAACTAGACGTTAATATCTACAACTTTTGTATTTAACATTTGTCTCTAAATTTCAACTTAGATGCAAAAACGGGGTGGCCAAAGTTCAATCAATAACCCTGTATCTATTCGGTTATAGCACGATTATTTGAAATATACCAAAACGATCAAAAATTCACTTTTGAAAAATGTCCTCATTTAAAACGATTTTAAAGGAAGGAACAGATATTCTTATTCAATTTGTAAATTGAAATTAATTAGATTTTGTTTATTTCTATCCCTATAGAGTATCGGAGTTTTTTCGCATATTCAACCAAAAAAACCATAAAAKTCTAGTACATTTCCAAAGTATTCGASTAATTTAAATRTTTAATATAAAATCSCTTCTTTTCAATACCATTTTSAAAAATTTAAACAATACAGGGTGACACAAARGTTCGRAGACAAATGTAGKAAATTTAAMTATCAATGGTGTTTTTAACATTTGTGCGTTGTTGAGGTTTAGCTTATTTTGTAGCCCGCTAAATTCTCTCAAGCTACGTTTGTTTCCCATGTAAAATTGTTTTTACGTGTTGCCGTCCTGAAATTGTTCGAATCGGGAAAGTCGACCGGCTGAAATCACATCACGCTGAAACTCCTCCGTACTTCAAGAAGCACGATCTACGAAACCATTAAAGGGTAAACTCGAAGCGGAAGAACGAACCTAAACAAGCTGAGGTGTCGAATTCGCCGGAATCCTGGACAGTCCATAAGAAACCTGGACAAGGAAGTGGGAATTAACGGAGAGGCGGCCAGAAAAATGGTCACCAAAGGCCTAAAGCTTCTTAGCTTTCAAGCTCGGAAGAGGTCATTAGTTATAAATTATTATTTTTGAAGGCATCTTAAATGGGAGTCGGTATCTCCAATTCCTTCGGAATAACCTGGATTTTATGTTGGACGACTTAGATTTAGAAACATGGCGCAATGTGCAATTATTTCAACATGATGGCGCTCCTCCGCATAATTTTTCGATTGGACGAAACGGCCGTACTTTATGGCCACCTCGATCACCGGATCTTTCACCTTTGGATTTATTTTTGTGGGGAGCCGTAAAATACACAGTTCACAAAAGCAAATATTCGCATTTCAATGCACTTAAAGAAGCTGTTAGAGCATTTGAAAATATTGATGGTCGGTCCACAAGAAAAGCAACTTATACAGTTTTAAAGCGTTGCAATGTTTGCATTGATAATAATGGTGGAATTTTTGAAAATGTTTTACAATAAAAATTAAAGTTCTAGAGTTAAATTTTAATTATTATTGGTGTGATTTGATTTTTTTAATAAACAGTTTAAATGAGCAGCCGTCTTAATTAAAATAAAGTTATTGCCAACTTTAACGTAGTTGTCACAATAAATACTGAAGCATGCTGTTATTATTTGTTACTATGGAAACAATGCTGTATGTCTTATACTATTTTCCATGGCTAACTTCGATCCACTAAATTGAAAAAGTATAAATTGTTCGCAGACATTTTATTTTCGAAAAAAACCTAACGATGTGATATTTCACAGAAATCGTAATAAAATGTTCTATTTGGTAAGGCAATAATCAAGTATGGTTGCAATTTAAAAAAACTCGAATTCATATGTCAAAAATGACAGTTATTTTAGAGAAATGTCTTATGCAATTTTGTTTGGAATTCAATTTCCTACAAGTTTCCTATTTAATGATTTAAAGCATAGATGTATGCCAAGGCTTAAAGCAACAACAACGCTATTCGTAAAAACTGGTGATGGTGGAAAAATACACCAAAACTTATTTTAATTGATAAATAAAGACAATAAATGACTGAAACCCTGGAATTAATTATAATAAGTAATAATTTCATTCTTATCAAGTATGATTAAATGTTTTTTTAAAATTTTTGTTATCTACTTTATGTAGATGCAAATGTGCATAATTTCTTCACATTTGTATTATGTGCTTTTGTATCAGCGGAAATCTGTTGCCACATAATTGATGCACTTGCAAACAGGATCAGCAGATATTTAAAATAACCATCTCGAAACAGTGACCCTTTAAAAGGCAAAATACTTAACGGTTTGTAGCGGATTGTTTCACAATAAAAATACTGTAAAAAATACAGCAGCGCAGTAGATTTTGAGAGGAAGAAAATCATCTGAGACCTGCAAAATACACCTTATTTTAATAATTAGCCAAATTACTTTACTTTATGTTAATGTTGCAAATTTGCATTTTTCAACAATATGCAAGCAACTTTTATCACATCATACARTKTATAAAYCTTTGATTTAACTCGCCAACCAGAAGGTTTTGATTACATTTTCTGTTGCGATGCGTTTGAAAACTRATTCGGCAAACTGTAAAAGCACCGCGTTCCAAATTGTCATTAATTTATGTCGTTTCGATGAGTTTGAAAACTAATTCGRCAAACTGTAAAAGCGCCGCGTTCCAAATTGTCATTCATTTCTGTCGTTTCGATGAGTTTGAAAAMTAATTCGGTAAACTGTAAAAGCACCTCGTTCTAAATTGTCATTAATTTCTGGCGTTTCGATGAGTTTGAAAACTAATTCGACAAACTGTAAAAGCGCCGCGTTCCAAATTATCATTCATTTCTGTCGTTTYGATGCAAAAATCCGCYAATTTCTCRWTCAATYGAATCTAGTCCACATATTCTGACTGCCTTTTTAAAGAGTGGTGGAATTTTCYGAAATTTGTATCCAGTTGAGGCTCTTTATGCAAATAAGCGCGCAGAGGTCAAATGGGGGCATTCTATTCTCGGTGGATAAAAAGTGTATGYTGCTAACTGAAACTGGCAGACTAAACAAGCACGATGTGTAAGTCTTGTTTATACAAGACTTATTTTTGCTTTTAGATTACTTAAAACGTAGTTGGACTCAAAACTAGTAAAAGATCTAACCTCACTGATGGATGCAAGTGAAATTAAACTGTAGTGTATTTGACTCCTTCCTGCTGGATAATATTGATATACTTACTTGGTTATTGATGAGCAAAGTTACTAAAATTTAAGCACAAAGGCTGGAACACACACCCTGGAATATGCAGGGCTTTCGGTTGCGGCTTCTAGTTTATTCTAACTTGGAGTTCAGATTTGAGCGCGAATAAATGATAGGCCTGGCAAGAGGCACGACTGTTTTTTAATGTATTACTGGTTGCGCCTAATTATTCGTTTTTACTTTAAAATACAGGGTTATCCATTTTATGCCTGGGAAAGTAAAGTAAAACAAAAACACAAAATATTCAGATGGACAGGATAATTTTCTTTCAATATAAAGATTAAACCTTGCCATTATACGTGAAAAACAATATCATTTAAATGTCCTCCACGGGACCTCCTCCAGGCCTCAATCCTTTTGAGGTAATTTTGGATGATTTTTCGGCACATTATCGGTAATATATCGGTCATCACTTCACGGATATTGGCTTTCAATTATTCAAGAGCTTGAGGATTGTTGGCGTAAACACGATCTTTCGCATAGCCGCACAAAAATAAATCTAACGGTGTTAAGTCGCAGGATCTTGCGGCCCAATTCACATTACGCAATATCGAAATTACGCGTCCTGGAAATTTCTCTTGCAATAGGGCTCCAACTGCCAGTGTTGTGTGATCATAATCTTGAATTTTTGAGTCAACAGAGTTGACTGTTATGGCTCATTCCTGATCGTTTTCAAAAAAATATGGGCCAATAACACCACCGGACCACAATGCACACGCGAGCGAAAAATGAGCCACATCGCTGAAGAAAATTCGATTCGAAAAATCATCATCAACGGCTTGTTGTTCAACCACCTAATTTGCGTATGTACTGCGTTGCCCATGGTCTTGAGGCTTATGTTCTTGAGTCAGTTGGACTTTGTACGGATGGAGCTTCAAATCCAATTGCAAAATTCGCCACAATTCGGGAAATCGACGAATTCGGGTCTTCCTCCACACTTTGAGCAACAACCGCGATATTTTCATCTGAACGAATGTTGCGATGATGCACAGGCCTTACAGTATCAGTAACCGATCCAGTCTCTTCAAATTTTCCCACTGTGTTCGAAATTGTTTGCTCTGGGGGTCGATTATGTCGACCGAAATCTGCTGGTAAAGCCCTAAACGTTGATACAGCAGAATCACCATTTTTATAGCAACATTTAATAATTTTTAGTTCTTCGACAGTTAAACGATCCATATTCCAAAACGGCAAACCTTCAACTAAACCCACAGATTATCAAATTATCAACTGATTTTTTTTGGTTGATGCACTAATCATTTATACACAGTTTTGTGCTTTTTGTAAATTCATAGTTTTTGCGCAAAAAAATGTTGTTTTCTTGCCACTTAACAATGTTAGACATTAACTGCAAATATGCATCGCGTAACGAGTACGCTTTCACGCAAGTTGTCTCTGCAAAACCCTAATACTTTGACCATGTCGGTCACTTCTTCATTAGAAAATATTATTAGAAAAAAGGGTTTTTCGGTCTTGTCAGGCAGAAAAGACGCTATTTCCGCGTGTTTTGTGTTCTTTTTGGGCGGCTGCGTGAGCGACCGGCGCTAAACCTCTTTACGTACATTCGGGAAACGTTCCTTTATCAAAAAGGTGCCAAATTTGAATATTTTAAAACTGAATCTAACAGTATCATTCGGAACGAATTTGTGAGACTGATTGACAATTAATTTATGCCTCGTATCACGGTATTTGCAGTTAATGTCTAACAATGTTAAGTGGCAAGAAAACAGACATTTTTTTCGCAAAAACTATGAATGTTACAAGAATTTTCAAAGAGCACAAAATTGTGAACAAATGATTAGTGCATCAATCTAAAATGAGTTGATTTCATCCTCCAACTAAAAAGTTCTGGTAGTTTTTGTACCAGGACACTCAAGAATTCACCACTTGTCCAAAACGGATGAACTCGATTGTTTCATCAACATATGAGTCTTACATAAGAACAAATTCACAGCGAGTTTCACCAAAATACATCCTACCATTCTCCCGATATTTCAAAAACGATAATCTTTTTGAAGAACTTTGACCATCAATAGCAGAGAAGCCAGACATTTTTTGTTAATAAAAGTTAGGTCAGATCGTCTTCTTTTGATGCAAAGAATATCGTAGTATCCTTTGTGTGCTTACGGGACACCATGTATATCTATTTTACAACTAAGAATGTTTTCACGTTCACTATTATTAAAAGTGGTTGGGCGAGACAAAATTTGATGAGCGCTCGCCCAATCTCGTCCACCCTTAACGCCACCACTGACCGCAAGAGTAATAAGTTTTAACATAAAATAGCACGTAGATCACACACTATTAGCACGAAATCAGCAAATGTTCAGATGTGTCCAATTCTCCTCACACCACTAATAGTAAAATTTGTGGAGTGCCAAGTAAGGCCTTCTTCTCGTATTACATATAGGTATGTATGTATCTTTGAAACATGTTCAACTATCTCTGGAGAAACATTTTTTATAAGGTTTCCTGGCGTATTCTGTTCTATCAGCAATCTTTAAAAGTTCAACCATTTCTTCCGCATGAACGTCTTTAGTGAGACAAAGACACTTGTTTGTACGCTTCTATTACAGTGACTGTATAAAACGTATGTATAAAGACACTGTACTTAAATCTTTAGAGGTTCCTCATGACCCAATAACACCTTTAATGCCCTCAAATCAAGAAGAACTAGGGCATTAAGATAAAAATAAAATAAAAAATCACTTCACATCCTATCTGGGTTCCATCGACTTGCTTGGTGCCAGTTAAGATGTCGCACAGAGATCACCATTTTCTTCAGTATCATGCAGAAAGGGAAATAAAAAACCGATCAATGGAAGATAAATATTTATAATGAATCTTCCAATTCATTATGCATATGGATTCATAGGTTTAAAATTAAATATTTCTTAATTTACAATAGGTACAGGCCCACTGGATGACGCTTGGAAATCAGCGAATAAGAACACAATCACTATCACTATATAAGATTAAATACCTATATCTCTATAGAAAAAATAAATAGGTACATTTGGTATTTATTATTGTCTAATTACCAATTTACATTAAGAAGCGACATTGTTCCTTGTAGATGGTAGGCGGGGCAGTCAAAATCCTTGTAGTCCAAATAGGATCCGGGTTAAAGAGTGGTTTATCTACAAGAGTTTTTACAACTCGCGTTTGGTGATTGAGTTTCAAGCATCATCGAGCGGCCCAGGAGTCCATTCGTGCCTTTAATGTTGTTCCAGAAAAATGTTCTCGATTACTGTACGAAAATGTATGATTCGAAGCTCTTTGCTGAAAGCTCTAGTCCAAAGTCAGACCAGATGAATATTCATAAGCAATAAGTTTCGTTAAATTTGCCGTAAGCTCATCAAAAGCACGAATTTCAAGTAGGAAAGTGCAACATGGAATTAGTTATAACAAACATTAATTACAAGGAGCAGACGAACACAGTAGTGCTAGAGATACTAAATCTAACGGGTCACAACACACGAGTGAGGGTTCAACACCTTCAACACAAGCGTTGTTTTTTTAATTCTTTAAACTATCTGTTCATAAATTGTATAGCGATATGTTGATAATGGGACTGTTTTCCTTCTAAAATCCCCTTTTCTTAAAAAATTCAACTAAACTCACTTTTTGCGAGGGTGATAGCGACGATCACGCTAACGCTAGATTAATTCATTCTAGTTTGCTCTGAAATACTCCCTCAAATGTACAAGAATAATGTATTTGTTTTGAAAAATGTACAAAAAAATTGTACACTCTAGAGCAAGGAAAACAAATTTTCCAACTTTAACTATAAAGAATCAATCGCCACTGGTCTCGACTAACAAAGTCAAAAATAACAGCTGGTGTTAAAAGTCTATTTTCGATTATTAAACAACGTTCTCACCTTCATTGCATTTTTTCTTATCGAAAATAGCGTTTATAATCGACCCAAACAATCCATAGTGGCAACATATTTTCAGATTTCCCTGCTTTACGTGGAGCAGGATGTTAGAGAATTATAAAAGTGCATTCAGAAGCTTCGTGTAAATGTCCGTAGATATAGATTTAGAAATGTGCTAATCTGAGACAAACTCCCGAACGCTAACACTCCCGAAAGCTATAATGCATTTTGCCTATACATTTAAATAAAATAAATAGGTTTGGGGAGTGTTATTTTCATTCTAAACCCGATCGGGTTCTGAGGGTGCCTGAAATTAGCACATCTCCAGATCTCTACCTAATTACTAGAGAAACTTTTGGAGGCTCTGATGACGAAAGTTCCATTGTTCTTAGTGTTGAATGGTTGTCTAAAACCGTTTTAAGAAACAGAGTTGAAAATGCTTAAACTTGAAGAAAACAAACAGAAACTAAGCTCAAAAAGAGCGCACTTAAGAAAAAAACTATCAGAAAATTCCTAAATAGAATGTAATGAAAGGCGTTTTTTGGACCTTAAAACGACTTTTCTCACTAGCGAATTATAAGCAACGGTACTTTGCTCAAAAGGATTTTTTGATCATTGGTATGACAAAGGCCAAGGATAATGAAGAGCCCATTTTTAACCCAATTAAATAATTTACCGGAAAATAAATAAGTTCATCTAAAACAGTCTCATATTTTGCCGATTAAAAATAGAAATTTTATTAACTAATTCTTCAAAGAATGTAACTTTTTCTAACAAACAACAACCGATTATATTAAAAATATCAATTATATAACGTAAAATCCAACAATATTGAAAAGTATCATGCATAAAATCATTTTAATATATCGCCTACCTAACTGACTGATAAAAGGACTGAAGGTTGCTGATCAGAATTTGAAAAAACTACCTAAAAACCTACATGATACAAAATTATTACTTACTATTAAGAATAATCCTATGACAAGGAGTTAAAATTAATTGTGTATTGCTATTTTTTTTTGTACAGTGATAAGAATTACACTAAAGCTATTTTAATGATGTTTATTGAATTGCTGAGGTTCTAACTATTTAACAATCGTTTTTGGTATCAGCAAAGTGAAATTATTCGGCGTGATAATCCGGCAACTGAAGAACTCCCGATAAGTGGATTACAAAGCTGGCGTTTAACGATATTAACTTCTGAACACCACATACTTATTTAGATTTATTTCCAATGTTCTAATCTAAACATTTGAATTTATGACTATATAACTATAATATCAAGTTTTACCTTTATTTATGAAAAGTTTTAACTACATTAAATCTCACTTTTGCATCGAAATGTAGATGCAAGAATTCATTTACAAAAATTACTTGACCAATTGACACTTATGTTGATTTATTTTTATAAATCTAATAAACTACTAGTATAATGTTGAAAACGCGCAACACAAACATATAGAAATTGCTGAAAAACAACGAAATTAGATGTACAGGATGTCGCTAAATTGCCTCGCAAGATCGAAAGTGTACGTTTCAAAGTAGCAATAAATTAGGGGACAATTTATGTAATGGCAATAGCTAAAATTTTGCATGTTTAACATCTCTTTTAATCACCTCATTTTGGAGCTTGAATAACAACTGACTTAATTTTAAAGCTCTCCAAGAATTTTCTACCATTGTATTAAGGAGTAAGAGAATATTTACACAAGCTTTTCACAAGTTATCGAATTATTGAATAAAAAAGAATTAGGCACAATGAACAGATATTTAAAATTGACCCACAGTTGAAAATTGAGTATTGACCCACAGACTAAGGATTGAAATAATAATTTGTATGAATGTAATTTTATTTTTGTTATTATTCAGCTCAATTTAAAAATCAATGGATTTTTTCCTAGAATTCAGGAAGGCTTGGAAAATTCATATTTGCGATTTATTAAAAGTTTTAAGGCTTAATTTGCATAAAAAGAGTTTTGAGGAAGGCACAACTTTTTCTTGATATTTTTCAAAAAAATCGACCTCTATACCTTTTTTCGATCGACTTCTTAATATTTTGATCAAAAATCAGAATTTTACATGAGCGTTTTTTGAGCTAAAAGCATTTTTTCTGTCCTCAGAAACTCCTCAGTATGCGTATGGTATGGATGCTGCTAGAGGTCAAAAATGTAACCGAACAAAAATCGCTTAAAATTGAACAAAAATGTCAATTATTTCGAATTTGAAGCTTCTAGAGTGTTTCTCAATAAAGCTTTATATTCCTCACTTCCTTGTGAAGACGTAAAATTCAAGCCATTTCAAAAAACTTCACATTTTTCAAAAAAATCGGCTTTTACCCGATATGAAAAAACATCGCTTAAAAAAGTGTGGTGGTTATCGTTTGAAGTCTAACCAAAGCCAGTTTTCCTCATTATTTTCGCTCACTTTAAAACGTAAATATGATCAGGATTATGTTGATTCTCAGTTTGTCTTGCGAAACTTTTTGTCTCCTTTTCAAATTTGGCAATTTTACAATTTCCTTTGTCCTTTCCTACATCAGATTCAAAAATTATTCTTTGACTGCAGAACAGATTTGCACCAGAACGATTTACAGACAGACGGCACAAGAGCGTTTTCGCTTCAACTTAGTAAGCCAATAGTAATCTGTTTCAAAATCGATTGCTCACAACAAACTAAGAAAATGCGAATAAACTGAATAGAGCGATTTTTAGTCAAAAAATCGATAACCGCTTAAGCCAGTGCTTTTTCAACACATTTAATATTCATTCTTCATCTTTCGCTACCTTAATTATAGCCATCACAACTTTGAAAACTCCACCTATAAAGGCAATTTGACTACATCCTGCAGACCTACCAATTCCTCTTAAGTCTGATTGACCTGAAACTCAGTTGAACCAGAACAATGCTAAAATGTGACAAAAAAACCGCTTTACATGCCTCAAGTATACCAATACTTTGCAAGGATTTCCTAGCAAAATACTGTCCTCGACTTCCACCACAAAAGAAACTCTAGTGATCCGAATTCGTAATAAAAAAGCTACTTAGAAGGAGCATTTTGTATTTTGTATACTTAAGGATGTGCTGTTTTCGTTGTTTTCAACTGAATTTAGTTTGCAAGTCAATGACCAAACAATTGCGAAAACGCAAAGCGAAATTATTTGTAGTCGGTATTGCTAATTGCTTGACATCTAGGTAGTGCAGTCTACTTTAATATTTTGCAGACCTTACATAATGACGAAAGACTTTGATATTCTTACCTTAGAGATCTTTGAAAGCCTAATAAAATCGTCAAATTATCATAAAATCAATATTAGAACGTATGGATTTTTTCATTTGAGGAAGACAGCAGGAGAAAGAAACATGACGCTGTTATGATCAACGTCGGGGAATTAGTGGTTTTAAAAATGTATTGAATTCAGCATTTAAATTGCCTAGATGGACTACCATATTTAATTGTCAATCTACTGAAAACAGAAAGCAATTTGTTGAAACTCGCAAAAGAGCAAACTGATCATGGGCCTGTTCGCATGTAAAAATAGCCTATTTTTGTCAATTCATTTTACCAACAGCCCTAATTCGTCTTCCTTCTACTCTACATCCTATTTGATTTTTTAGAGTTTACGCATCCCTAATTTACTACTTTTTTGCAGGTACTGTTGGAAATTGTAAAAGTTTAACCCTTTAGGCCTCAAAAAGCTACTGATTGTGCAATTGTATGGTTTGCTAATATGCGTTTTCTTGACCCAGCATTTTCGCTAAATTCAAGAAAAAAATGATGGACCGAGAAACGCCGCATGAATCTAACAGTAGAACGTCCGATTCAAACATTTTTTACAGTAGTAGAACACGATTTCTTTAAGGAAATATTAATAGAAATATAAACGACTTTTTCAAAGAGAAACAACGTTAGAGGTCACCAACACGCTCAACTAAAAATATTCCTTAGATATAAAATGCTATAAATCTGTACATTAGTACATAAGTAACCGAGGAGAGTAAGAATTAATATTGCATCGATTGTAAATGTGCAAACTTAGAGGTTTAAAAACAACAAAACTTTCAATAATTCTTACTCACCACCAACGATAATAATCCCTAATCTAAGACGATCGAACAAAAATAATTACAAATATTTAAATATCACACCATTGTTTTAAGTTATAAACGCATAATGACGTTATTGCTAGAACAGTTTTTCCAACTTCTACAGTTATTCTCTACTTGCCAACATTAGTTTAACTTCAATATGAATACTAGATTTCATAACAACGGAAATAAATGAGGAAAAGCCAAGAAAACGTTCTGCCTTCGTACACGGTGGTGAATATCTCTGAAATATATAAAAAAGTGTTAGTTTTCAGCAATGAAAAGACGTTAGGCATGCATTCAGGAATATAACGAACAGACAGACGAGGTTTCGCAATTTATATACAATAACTTAACATAATAGTTTATACCAAGGAAGGAAATTGCGAAACCTCATGCTTTTACTGTTGAGGAAAATGTATAGTTTTCATCTGGAAAGAAGTGTCGATACCTGGGTGTATAAACTGTTAAAAATGCATGCATTTCCTAACGAGGCTCAAACTCATTACCTTCACAGCTTCACCCGAAAAAGATCTGTTGAAAGTCACTACAGGTTTCTGATAAAATCAACTACAAGATGCAAAACTGTGCATTCTTAAGCCCTATTAGCAGTGTGAACGCAAGAAATCTTACACAAATTCCTAGTCCACTTGTTGGACGCAACAAGTCACTGGGACGTTAATTTGAGTGTTTGTTCTGAATTATAGTGGGAGGACAGAGTAGAGTTTACACCTAAATCACACACATTTCGGCCTCGAATACTTACCAATAACATTTAGACTAGTCCCATATAGCCTCCAATGGTACATGTTAATATAATGGCCAAGATGGCCAGGCATATCGTGATCATTATTTTCTTCTGCAATATTTGAAAAGATTGATTAATACATTTCCGCTTGGAAAGCGTTGCAATTCAACTACATCATGTGCCAATTGTCACTTTATCATCGACATTCGTTGCTCCTTTTTCTACCAAAAACCCTTTCTTTGACTAGTTTAACTATGGAGAATTAATTGAGATTCCTTTTGGCATCTTCCAGTACTTTCCAGGAGCTTTTTGCATCAGCAGTCTTAGTTGATGAAGTTCCTGACTTTTTATAACGTTCAGCTGAATATTCGCATATTTCCTTCTTGGTAAGCAATAATTTGAGTTTCACTGGAATCGCTTGATCGCTTCCAAATGGAAACATAAAAAACAGCAACTATTAAGCATTCTAACTGAACTGGGTAACAGTAACTAGAAAATTCCTATGCTACAAAAACGAACCTGGATAAAAAACCTGAATAAACTCGAAAAGAAGTGCAGTTTAGCTCTTTGAAACTAACTCTAGAAAGCGATTAAAGTCTACTGAACTGTAATGCATCAACGTAACAGTTGAATACTCGAATGGATTAAAACAGAAAAGAACTGCCTGTTTATATATACTCACTATCCAAAAAATTTTGCGTAAATACTGGCAGAGACGATCACAATGAGTACTGATACGCACACCAAGATCATGATTTTCTTCTATAAAATCAGGATAGAAAAGGTTTAGTCGTGTAAACTACCAACTGGATTTAAAGGGAATTGCGCTAAACCAGGCAAAAATCGACTTTGCCGACCTCGATTGTTCCCTGCTTAGTGCCAGGATAAATAAAAATTTCTAATAAAACTAAAAAGTTGCAAAAGAAAAATGTAATAATAATTAATAATAAATAGTATGTTTATCAATATGTGCAGGCTCTAAAACTATATACATATATCAATTAAAAGTTAATAAACAATTAATTATAAGACGAAAAACAAAACTTTGGCCTGGAAAGTAAATGCACATTTCAGAAGGAATAAAACTGTATGGACTCAATAACATGTACTCTAAACTATTCCCAAGACAGCAATTTACCATTTTTTTGTATTGAATTGTGTCGAAACATTCAAACATTACTTATCCTTAACTTAGCCCTACGTTATTCTAAATTGACTCGGCATTGAATCACATTGTATGTCAATATATATTTTTCACATCTTTCACTACGTGCGGTAAACAGTAAACTACCGTCTCGAACATCAAAATTTTACATTAAACTCTATGTCTAACATGGAGAACTTGAATATATTATGAGTATTGCAAAACAACTGCAACTAACCAAATGAGATGCATAAAATGATCTATCACACAGTTATTCCTGTCGTCTAAAAAATCACAGTTCAACATAACGTATAGATATGAAGGTGAACAGTATCACTAGGACTATTAATTTGTATTCGTTTTTATTAAACTCAAAACTATCCTTGAAGAAAATCACGCAAACGGTCAAAATCTATTCTTTACAAGAGATATTTATTCAATGTAAATACTGTTCTAATAGGTAACACTTGCTATCAGTGACACAGAAAAATCTAGTGTTTCTACTAATACCAAGAGTCGATTTGCATCCCTTTGCACAACAGCTCTTGGTATTAACATTGAGAAAACGATTATATGGGATTTTTTTTGCGTTAGACCGGTTCAACTTAACATCAACAAATCATTGAAAACGATAACCAGCATGATGAATGAAGTTCCGGCAAAAATATGGCGAGTAATCTTCAAAAACTCCTAATTAAACTCTACGTTTTGTTAAATAAAAAACTGATTTAAGGCTCGAACGCTCCCAACATTTCCTCGGGGGCTCGCATGGATAACAAAATTGACCTTAAACCGTTTGGAAGCGCAAACAGTTATTACTACTGACTGTTAAACCTAGAAACAAATCAACTTTATTAAATACAAACGAGGTTTCGATCTTTCTTTGTCACTTTGTATAGAATCGAGTGCGGTAAATGTAGATACGGGTAAAGATGAACATGATCGATTTTACCGCTGAACTTTTCTCGTTGGAAAGTCATTATCGAGTGAAAATTGTTGATTTTACTCCACTCGGTTCTACATGAAAAAACACACACTGATCAATCCACAGTATTTAGCTGCAAACAAGCCCAGAAATTAACAAATGTAAAGGCAATAATCCTACCGGCCCCAAACGAAAGTGACGATTTTGCAACGGAAGCGACAGAGTTACTTTTTCGTAATTTGGTTTGTAAAGCAAAAATCGCACATATTTACATTATTAAAAATTAGGCTTTTCACTTCAGGCAAAAGTACCGTCATTTTGCAGCGAATTGAAGGACGATATCAAGCAATGTTCCTTAGATATCTATCGATATTTATTGCTTACATTTCTGGTGTTTCGACTCAACTGAAATGGTTGGCAAAGAGGATTAACCACCTCGAAAAACACGACATTCTATCACGAAAAGCGTCGTTTGAAGATTTCTGCATACTACGCACATGTACCTAATAGAAAATCGAGTGAACATTTTTAAAGTTCTCACTGAAGATGACTAAAAAGTACTTACACTTTATGGAAGAATGTTCGATAGCTTTATAACTCCGCAACGAACTGTTGCGCATTGAAAATTTTCACATTAAATGAAATCCACATGTACAGACTAATCTCGTAGAACCTTTCCAGATCAGAATAAATAACTAACTAATAGAGAAATAAGGGAAAATACCATCTAAACTATAGTAAGTAGATATGTACAACTTCTATTAAAATGGCTAATATTTCAAATTGCCCCTTTAGTTTAATGGGAAATTCAATGGCAAAAACTTGTCGTTCATTCTCTATGCAAAAAGACAAAGCGAACATTCATAGAGGACGAACGAAGGAGTCGTGACTTGTAACAGCGGGTTTCCATTAATGTTTCATTATGTAATTAATCCATTAATTCCTAAACTATATATTAATACAGGCAGTTTTGTCGGTGTGATAATAAACTCTGGTTAATAGTATGTAGAAAAATAATTCATTACAGCAAGTTCAAGGTTCCAGCCTCACTAATTCAGTTAATAAAAGCCATTTTAATTCACAGACTTTTAAAGAATATGCCGTAATGCTGTAATGCAGTATTTATCACAATTGAAGCTAGATAACTTTTTATCCAAAAAAACCATCTCATTCACGATGATTTTTTTAAAAGTAAATTTAATCAAAACTGTGTTTATTTGGTTGGAAAGCTTGGTAAATACTGCATCGCAAATTTGCATCTCAACTAAGGGCGCTCAACCAAACTATCCTCTAAACATAAATTTATTATTTGTCCTGAATTTACATGTATTGCGAAAATCCCTTAGGGCGACAGCGTTGATGCCAAAATGGCTATAAGTACTATGAGAAGTATTATTAGACAAATGATAATGAAGATCTTTTTCTGGAAAAAATAAAATAATAATTATGATAAGAACTGAGTAAAATACCTGAAAATCGGCTTTTTGGCAAATTAATCATCAGCAAAACCATTCACATATTAGAGTCAATGATTCTTTGGACTTAAAATAATTTTTGGTGTGAGTAATTTACCAAATAGAGTACAAATAAAACGAATGCACAACCAAAACCAAAACGGAATTGCCTTCCAAAAACTAAGTTGAAAATGGGCCTATAAAATTAAACCGCTTTTGACTTCCAAACTCATTTTCAACTTAGGAAAAGACCCAACTTTCACCAACTGCCATGTCTTTGCACCAGGAAGAGTTAAACTCCTGTTGAATATCTGATTAAGAACCAATGCTGGTGTAAATCAGGTCACCATTCCAAAACATTACAAATATGGTGATGGCTTTAAGCTACAATGCTGAAGTTGCTAGAAAATAACGGGTTGTTTTCTCATTTGAGATCGAACAAAAATTAGTTCGGACATCAAAATGTATGAGTAAATGACATGAATTTGGGGTGAAAACAACCCGCTATTGAAAGGAAGTGTTGAAACGAGAGTATAGGAATGTTTTCCGTAACGGGGTGGGCGTTTAGATTGCTGAATATGTAAGGGCAAAGTAGTTTCCAAAATCTATGGAAATTCGACAGAAAATTTGGAATAGTAGTATCCAAAAAAACGAGCTCAGTATCGCGCATTTAAWGAAAAATAACTGGAGATGGAAAAAATCGAATGCGCTGAAAGAGGGCGTATGTAAATCGGTAATGTTTTGTCGTTTCGTCTTTATMTGAATGGTGTGCAAAGTTGMAAAGCTTCAAAGTACTTTGGATGTACTAAACCAGGATTGCCATATTTTTTCTAAAGTTATTAAAAAAATGAAGAAGCATCCCATCGCATAAAAAAATGTTAGAGTCTGAAAAGCTTTGCAGACGCTCTAATCTATTCAACGCCATCAAGTTATTTTAGCTTCTAATAAATCAAAACATTCTTTCTTCTAGCTTGTTAAGCTATTTTCAGCRATTTGCGTGAACTTTCAAGYGTTCATTATTTTGYCTTGAAAAARATTCAATAAAKKAAATCCAATTGGCAAACAACTCAAACGACTTTTTACATGAATACTGGATTAATTYGACTAAATCATTCGATTAAATCATCTCGATTACAAGTACAAATCGATTATTCCCATCACTTTAAACCACTTACACACTTCCATGCATCCAGCATACTTTCGTGTAGCTGATCAATGAGTTAAATGCCAGGAAAATTCAACTTCGTTCATGAATCATTTCTAATAATGATGAATTGAAATATCGGGAGGTTTTCTCCATCGGGGCCCACTCACTATCCAGCAATCTGAATCGCGAATCGCTTACCTTCCTCGCTTTGCTTTGGTATTCTTGTGCAGTCTTGAGCTGTTGATGGCCTTCAGCCACGTGATTTTGTGTAGTTTCGACCTGGTATTCGATCCGATCCACCAGTTCACCCTGTGTTTGGGAGAGTATCGAGTGGGGAAACACATGGGAGATGGGAAGGTGGAAAATTGATGGAAACATTGGCAAAAGGGAACAAAATCGAGCCACCACCGCAGAAAATATACACGCAAAACGACAGTGATTATGTACAACACCGAGTAACACATGTAAGTGACAAAGGGCACACAAAGTATAGTTAGTAGTAACAGTTAATAGTATCAGTACATTTAGTGGGTGCAACACAAGCCCATTTATCAGAAAATACCAAACAAAGTCGAACGACAAAAACGGGAACGCAAAGGTGACAAAGGACAAAAAGGAAGCGAAACAAAAATAATAAAAAATTAAAAAGCAATTTTTACACAGTACTAAGGTCTAGTTTCTAAGGTACGACTCACCCGTCGGGCACGACTCTGATACCGCAGAGCCTTTTTGGTATCTTGAGTAGCCGTTTGGACATAGTCCACGGCATGTTCTACATGGAACTCAATACGATCAATCATTTCCCCCTATGAGATGAAGAACCATGAAAGAGATGCGGTTAGTTAGAGTACAAAATGCATTTCACTAATATTGGTTAATTCCACTACAAATGATAATCTTTATACAGTAGACGCCATAGTTGCACCTACAGGGATAATTGAGTAGCTCGCGACCAAAACTAGTAGTTTTATTTGTCTCCTCTCAAGTATTAACAAGTTGTTTTTGACAAAAACATTATTTTGCAAACATAAAAGATTTTATGTGCTTACATACAAAAATCTGTTATGAGGTTTTAAATAAAAAAGTTCGTCATACAGACTTTTTCAATGCCTTCGTTTCCTTAAACAAGCGGGAGATTTTGTGATTTAATACACTTTGCACAATAAAACGTAAGTTTTTTTTTAATACGGCGTATGCTTTAAATGTGAAACTCATAGGCATCTACCATACAATAGTTGTGTTAGATGTGTTATTATCATGCACTTTAATTAATCAAGTACATTAATCGAAATAGCACCAAACATGCAATTTTTGAATGGCGAAAGCATAATTATTCCTCTGTGTAAGTGATATTTGAAACCTGCTTGACTTAATAAGAAAATCACGAATTTAATTTTACCTTTATCGCTAGAAACTTAAGAGATATTCATTAAAATTGCACAACAAATCATGTTTTAAATGGATTCATTATTTAGAATACTATAAATTAGTTCAACTAAAAGTAGAAAGAGCCTAAATAATATGTATCAAACCACATACTTAAACACCGCTGCAGTTAACTGAATGAGTGATCGAAATGTTAATCATACAATTAAGAGAAACCCGGAAGAATAATGTGGCATGCACAAGGCGAAAATGATCTCTCGAAAGGCTCCGTAAGAACTCGGAAAAATCAACTTTTTCTGCTAAATTGACAAAAAATCCTATACTTATGACTAGTTTTTGAGGCTCAACAAATGATTGAGTGGCAATACAGTGGCGGCTCATGGTAAATWCTTCGGGGCGTGAATTTTAAAAATACCTACATTTAAAAAATCAACATAACGCRTAGTTGTCCGATAGCAACTTACTGGATAAAAATAAGGATGTTTGCAAAAATWRCGTTTTTTGTCTTCCAACTTTACTTAAGTCTTAAACTCAAATTGTTTGCCAAATTTCAGTTTACTTCAGTACATTTGAAGAAACTTRATATTTTTTTCTGCAYTTTCGCATGCGGGTTTTCTGAGCTCAATGGGTTCCTTCCGCCTTAAAAAAACTTCCCAATATGAGCATGTATSATGTTTGAGTTTATAATAAGGGATCTTGGGTTAAAGTTCGCGACTGATYAAAAWTCGCTTAAAATCAACGRAAAATGTGAATTATTTTGAATTTGAAGCTACTAGCGTGGTTTTCAATGAGCGCGTGTAATTTATMGYTATTTTTTTTTAATGAAAATAACGTAGAATTCGACACATATTAAAAGACTTGCAATTTTTCGAAAAAGAAATCGAACTSTACAAATTAGAAAATTTTCGGTCAAAAATAAAAATTTCACATGTGTGTTCTTTGAGCTCAAAGAATTCCTTTGGCCTTCAGAAACTCCCAAATGTGMGTATGTATGATGCTTAAAGCTTATAATAAAGGAGATATCATCRGTTAAATTTCACGACAGATTAAAAATCGCTTAAAATAGACCAAAAATGTCAATTATTTCGAATTTGAAGCTTCTAACKTSTTTTTCAATGAGCACCTTAAATKTATCGTTATTTTTGATAAAAATAACGTAGAATTCGAGATGTTTTAAGAAACTTGCAATTTTTCGAAAAATCAATCTCCATCCCTGATGAAATTCGCGGTCAAAAATAAAAATTTTGCATGCGTGTTTCTTGAGCGCAGTGGATTCCTTGGGYCTTAATAAACTGTCGTATGCGTATGGATGACKCTTGAGTATATAATARGGAAGATATCGTCGGTTAAAGTTCGCGACTGAGCAAAATTCGCTYAAAATGGACCRAAARCGCCAATTACTTCGAATTTGAAGCAGCYAGCGTGTTTTTCAATGAGCATCTTAAATTTATAGCTACTTCTTGATCAAAATAACGTAGAACTCGAGACATTTTAAGCGAKTTGCCATTTTCCGAAAAAMTTGACTTCCACCCCATATGAAGTTTTTGGTCAAAAATCAAAACTTTGCATACGTGTTTTTTGAGCTCAATGGATTCCTTTCACCCTAAGAAAGATTCCAAAATACATATTTAACGTGTTTGGGTCTATAAAAAGGAATATAAACTTATGATCAAAATGGCCTAATGGGAGAACCGCCACTGTAAAACACAAATATTTCATAAAATATTGATTAAAACTATTAGAAAATTCAAACAATTGACTTTGCAGCAGCTAAATTGAATAAACTGCGAACGGTTTCAAGCTCATCACTTGTCGAGCCCAAATAAGATAAAATATTTGGCATAATATCAATCGGCTTTTTTCACTCGAATAAGACAATTTACCTGATTCTCAACCAGCATGGCCATGTCCATGAACATGTCATGGAGCTCCCTAATTGAGTTCTCTAATTTAATAATATCGGCGTGTCGGGCTTCTATATCCGCTAAGGTCTGCTTGGCTTGTTGCGTTTCCATTATGATCTGCAATATAGAATAAGTTCCCTTAAGTACACTGGAGAACGGCATTCATTAAACGTGCTGATAAATTGCTCTATGGAAAATACATGTCAGCTTCAAATAATGCGGAATTCGGCAATTTGGCGCAAATTGTCTACCGCGAATAAAGTCGCTGCTAAATTATTGTTCATTTCGCTTAGACAATGCCACCGGCTTAAATTCGACATATTTTGAAGCTTATATACCTACAGGAACCGAAAAGTACAATTTTGAAAATGTATAAGCTTAAATCAATAGAGATCGTGGATTCAAAATACAACTTGTTTTTTTTTAATAGAACATCCTGTATATTTTTGTATTTTCGATGAAAATTTGTCGAAAAACGTGAAGTTTTTGTTCGTTCACAAAAATGTTAATAGCTCAGCGCCCATTTAAGTTAGAAAAGAGAAAGTTGCTAACTAAACTAACTTGATTGAAACTAAAACTGATTTTTGAAAGGACGATTAGCGGTCTCCAAAAATGAAGCTTAAACCTTGAATTTTTACCGAAATCTTAGTCAGCAAATCGAACAAATTTTCAAATTTCTACCTCTAGTACATAGTTTTCCATCTATCGATAGATCAAGCTCATTATGGAATTCCCTCTATTTCTTTCCCCAGAGCTTTAAGCCCTGTGAGCATAATCTGCAAATCCCATTTACTTTAAACAGGCAGACAAATACTTACACCTTGAGTAAAGACAGCGGAATTATCCTGCTCTAACATTTCCTCTAGTTCTTCATTGGTGGTTGTTCGGCCAGCTAAATGGATTAGAAGCAATTAGGGGATATAGTTACGGCAACTCGTATGCGTGCGATTTCGTCTTACTGATTTCCAACTGCCTCATTATCCGGGCTTTACACCTTTCTCGATAGTCGGTTTGAGTCCGGTTGTATTCCGTCATCACCTCCACAAATTTCCTGGATAGGGTCGATTGTTGGATTTTTCGTATCCTGAGATCCGCGGAATTCTTGTTGTTCGTTTCCTCATTGTCTATGCCCTGTTCTATCACTAAATCCAACAACACAAATATCAATATAAAAATGTATTTATTTATGATTGATTTTTTTAATTCAATGCAATTAGGAATTTTTGTCTATAATAGAAAATCAGGCTGCATATATTGATATATCGGCAGTGAAATCACTGTGTAACTTTTCAATAACCGTTAACAACTCAAACAGGAGATAATATTCTTATCAGGACTAGGATTACATCAGTCAACAGATCAGGATATTTTATTATATGTTAAATAGTTATTGACGGGCATAAAACTTGGTTTCTGGACCCCATTGCTTAAAGAAAAACGATTCGAACTTTATAGCGTTTAAAAACATCAGCTAGTTGCTAAACGATTTTTTATGCAAACTTTGATAAATGGTCAATTATATTAAAATTATATGTATAATAAATAATATTTTTACTTGTTATCGAATACATACCCTTTAACTTGGCGCGCACTTTATTGGCAGATTTCTTTATATCGCTCATAAGGTCCTCAAGTTCCTGTTTGGTCTCTAGAAAAAAAAGAGAAATTGTTCAATACTTGCAAGACAGAAAAAGTAATTTCGCTTTTTTCTTGAAATGCGGCTCGCATACAGATTAGAATGCAAGAAAAATTGATTTCTTGCGGAGTCTGAAAGTTGTTTCAAAACTTCCTTAAAATTCGGAACTCGCCAAATATTCGTTCAACTTCTGATGGCTAATTCCCGAATTGAGAAGGTCTGGAACAGGAGCAACGGGAAAAGAGAAAACATATTTACTAGTTCCTTTAATGATAGCTGGTTAAAGCCAAATTTTCATTTGATTTTGATGAAAGTAGATTTTTTTAATGAGAATAAAGAATAATGCTCAAAATATTAAAGAACTTTTGAAAACATTCGAAAGCTGGTTTAAAATGCAATTGCGGATTGCCAAATCTATCTCGCATGCAGATTATGATAGCAAAAAACAAAAATTGCCTTATCACCAATCTTAAAAATGTTTTCTAAAGTTCTTTAATATTTGGAGCATGATTTTTCAGTTCCATTATTCACAATTTTCAGTAAAAAATCCACGTTTATCAAGATCGAATGTTCATTTGTCCCCCCGCCTTTGAAGATTATCATTCAAGGAACTGGTAAGTAGCTTTTCCGCTCCCATTAACTAAATATCTTCCTGCTCCAGACCTTCTCAATTCGGGCATTAGCCATCAGAACCCCTAAAAATCGATTTTCCAGGGCACCTATTTTATTTGAGAAAACGAGAATCTGACTTATCGCCACTCTCTCTTTCTGTCTTTCTCACGGGGCCAGATTCCGTCTATTCAGTATTCCCTAGATCCGTTTTATTAAAGGGTAAAGAGCTGCGAATCAGGAAAGACTAGAAAAGTAATAAAAGTTGCCGAACGACATGATGTTATCGTATATTGAAGTTTTGCCCGGTATAAATTTGTTTTCCTTTCGGTTACTCGATGAGGCCGGTGGGAAGTTTCAGCCAGCTAAAACCTCCACAGATAGATTTTTCCTTTGGTAGCATCCATAAATAATGACTTCTCTCGTCTCGGATGCTGACTGACTTTAATAGAGCAATTTGCTTTTTATGGTTATTTCCGTTTAAGAATAAATCTCTAGGGATTTTGATCAGAACCGGTTTGCTCCAACGCAAAAACGTTCAGTCCACCGTATGCTAAAGACCCACAATAGGTCAACTTGATCCATCGCAAACGGTCATCAATCACTCTATCCGGAGCTCTGAAAGAGCGTCTTTATTTAAATCCGTTAGAGTCTTTTTTAATATTCCTTTGTCATTGTTGAGAAAATTCCATTCGCATTCACAGTCCGGAATCCACTCCAGAAGATAATGTGCTTATATTAGCATTCGACATACTCTGCAAATCATCAAGTACCACCCCCATATAACGTCTCATTGGAAAATAACGTAGGCGAAATGGGATTCAACGTAATTCCGGGATTTTATGGCGGCGTGGGCGCAAACAGCAAAGAATGATGGCTATTTTCAGTGTAATATTGGACGTACATCGTGTAAAATTTGTTTGCTATCTGCGAATTTTGTTGGTTTCCTATTTCCAATTTATGTCTTTGTTGGGTCGCCTCACTGATAATGTTTCAAGCGATAATAGATTATATTGTCGACTGGCAGCATTTGCGTATTTTTGCTTTTCATAATCAAAATTCTGGGAAATTGTCGAAAAATTGTCAACGCCACTTTGCCACTAAAACTGCTAGAAAAACTGATCAATCCTTTCGCGACCATTGCATGAAACTGGTGCGTTTTTCGGGCTTTTAGGCCGTCGTGGAAAATCAGTTCTTCCTGACCTTCGAAAGTGTTGAAATTATCAGTCCAAAGCTTTCGAACAAAACGCCCCTAAGAATGAAGAATAAAAAATACTTTGTCTCCAAGACCTAAAAAGGTAAAAAACCCGAAAAATTCACTAGTTTCAATCAATGGAGACAAAAACCGAACTCTCTTTAACTTCACCACTTTTTGCTTTACAAGAGTAGTGCACTTACGAAATACCCTTTAATTTCATCGCAATTTTCCAATATGAATCCACCTGGAACGTTTTTTCACAATTTATAGTCGTATGACCCACATCTTATGAATGCGTTACAAAGGTGACGTAAACCTTCCAGAAATCTGGCAATTTATGCGCGAAAGATCAAATAATGTGTTGCTCTAATAAATTCGCAGTAAACGCTTACAGACACGCACATATACATGGAAAAATATTAAACTAGAGACGATTAACATCGCGCATAATTTTTTCGTGCACGCTTTTTGTTTCCGAATGGCTGGCTTAATAAAGAACACCCAACTGGCGGTTTTCAAAGGCCAACATTCGAAAATAAATGGAGATATTACTTAGGGAAACCATTAGTAAAGGGCGAGCCATTATGGGTTTAATATGGTAGTGTTTTAAGTGGAGACCATTCACCTTTAAAAGCTTCTCATTTTTATGAGAATTTTTAATTTTTCCAAAGTCCTCCACCTGCTCCACATGCGCTATCTTAATCTCTCCTATCGCATGAACCTGTTAAACGAACCAGCGTGACAGAATTATTCAAATCCTTGAAAGCAAATATACCTTGCCCAAAATAAACCTTGTTCTAGTTTCGCATCGAGAGCATGTGCCCTGTTTCCCAAACAATGCATCTCAAACTCTAAGACGTGACTATTTACTGCTTCCTATCCGACATCTTAGTGGCTATTTCGGGAAGTAGCAGCAAAACAAATGACCGAAAACAACAGTCTTCAGTTGAAATCGACAGAACCAACATCAGATCAAGTGAACTAGACTAGATTTCCTGTCCAATAAACATCGAAGTTTTCCATTTCTATAGAAATCTAGCCAGAAGTAGGGCAATAAAGTTTGACTAGTATAGATTAAGGCGGACCAAGCAAATGCTTGTTTGGCCCATAAATCAATCACAGCCCATTCCAGTGTTCCTGTATTACACTTTACATCCAGACTGTTATCAATCAAAATCCGCCTTTTGGGGCTTATGAGTGCCCTTTCGACTTCACCCCCAAATAACCCCGGCAGCCTCAATAAATCATGTCTAAGTTTCAATACTGGGGTTTTTAAAGCCTTCAATACTGCCTGAAGGAGTTATATAATAAATGCCCACTCGCGGTGGCTTTGAGCACCGCATTTAACACCTGGCATGGCAATAAGAATTTTTCTGGCACTTTCCAAACTATTTCCAGACTCGATTACTGGCGACGATAAAACTTTAACAAATGCTTGTTCCCGAGAACGAGTGAGACCCGGGTTCAGGCTGGATCGATGAAGGCATTCTCATTTTCTTTCATCCTAGGATTATTGGATATGATATAGACCAAAGTAATTTTTGCGACAGTGTCTTTTGGTCTGATGGGAATTCGCTTTAAAGCTGCTAACAATATGTCAACATGCTAGCAGGGGCGGATCCAGCTTTAAAGTCAGGGGGGGGGGTTATGTAGAAAAAATACTATTCTGTTAACTTAAGTCTTCTGTTAACTATGAAATTGAGCAAAATGAGCAAGAACGCTCGTTTTTACATCATTCCAGAAATAAATAAATGGCCTTTATTCCAAGTTTCTAAAGAACCATTCGAGCCACAGAATTCATTTTGGCATCGTTGGATAGAGAATTGAAAAGTCGATTCAGTCGTAACAACGTGAGTGAGGAAATTTGAGTAGTTTTGACCCAGAAAGCGAAATTT